TAGATAATGAGGGTGATTTTGGATTGAGGACTGGAATATGAGAAGCCCAATATGTTAAGAATAAAGACTCCAGGATTCCAGACAGAACAGAAATGGCTGGCAACATATAGACTCCAAGTGGAGAAATGGAGCCATAAAGGGATTGGAACAGCAAGCAATTAAGGGACCAGAGTCCTCAATAATGGTTAAAATCCTGTGCAGTAAGTGGAAAGAATCAGCTGAGTGGGCTGAAGTCCAAGTTGAAGTCCAGATTTTGAAGGACGAAAAAATGCCCAAGACTAGACAAGTGCAAAAAGCGAGTGGTTTAAGTAAAGTGGAAATTAAGGCCATGGGATTTAAAGTTGAAGACCTTGAGGAACTTCAAGGTCAATGAATTAACAGAGTCTCAATAAAACCTCAAAGTCATGGGCAAGAGACAAGGTAGGGAAGAGAACCAAGCTGGCTGCTCATGTTTGTCTGTCTGTCACTTTTTTGTAGCATCTCGTGAAGTGCTTGCCAAACCTGGGTGTACATCAGAATCACCCACAGAACTCTGTTTTGTCTCCCCATCCTCCATCCTCCTCCTTCTTCTTTCTGGGTTTGTTTTTAAAATAAGGATTTGTAGGTCTTGCCCATCTTGATGATTCTCACTTGGTGTGTTGGAGGGAGCCTGAAGAGCCACGTTTTCCAGGATACGCAGGTGATTCTGCGGAACCACCGGGTTTGGCAGGCACTGACCCAGAACAGAAGAAGGGGGGCATGGGGCACAGGCAGACAGCATGGCCTCGTAAACTGAAGACTTTGTTAGCGGCAGGTTGGCAGTGAGAAACAGGAAATCCAATCCCTGTCCACTGAGACAGGAGAGGGCTGTTCTGAGAGAAATCGTTCACTCAGGCTCTGATGCTTGGGGAGGGACAGAAAATGGGCTCAGCTGCAGAAAAATGAAAGTACAGGAGTCTGGCTGCAGGATGTGAAAAACAAGAGACTGAAAGGCAAGTTTTGGAGACACACAGGTCAGTGGCCCACAGAGAGAAGGTGGAGTTTGTTAATGAGGTTTCCAAGTGTCACGAAGTGTGATTCATGAAAGGATTTGTAGGGCTTAGTGGCTGAATTCCTGCAGTAAGGATTTTCCTATCTGAATGCTATCAGATTTCTAACATGTAAACCATTAAAGATTATTAAACCGTCAGGTAAACAAACAGGCTCACAGCAGCTTATTCATTACATTGAAAATGTTTTTCTTCCCAAACCGCAGTTTTATACAGATGAAATCAGACTGGAATGAATATTTAGGGTAGCTTTGGAGCAGAAAGCCAGAAGGCGCAACCCCAAGGACCCATGAGAGGCACAGGGCATTTCCTGCCATCCCTCTCCTTTGGAAGAGGGAAGTGTATGGACTGAGACTATAGAAAGGGACCTGGGTATCTTTTTAGCAGCAGCCAATGCTAAAAATAGAAGAGATGTCACAGCCTACTCTGTCTCGGGAGTACCTTCCTCACATACACACACTCCGTGACAGGGCCCCAAAGGCGACACGGCATGCAAATCCGAGGGATGGTCTTCAGTAAAGAATGTATTTACTTTCACAAACCCAATTCCTATTTAAAGAGCAAGCTGCAAATGTTTGCCCCTGCTTCCCAGGGAGCTGCACTCTTGTGGATTCAAATCATTCTAGCCATTATTTCTGGTTACTCCTAGGAAATAATTTCTAACACGGACATACACATACTTTAAGATGAGAGCGTGAGCGCAGCTGGGCACGCGCGCACACGCGCGCGCGGGCACACACACGCACAACCTCGTGCACACTGAAGAAATGACTCACTTAATTTGCTGCCGCCTGCCACTATTGGGTTTTGATTTTACCTGTTCAAATACAAAGTTTCCTATGAGATCAACTACAGGAAAGAACAACTCGAGAGTATTAACCCTGATTTTTGTTCATGACTTTTAGCGCACCCAAGAGGTTTGAACCTGGGCATCTTGACAAGCCACTCTCTGGACCACCCACTGCTTTCTGTCCAAAATCTTCCACTCCTTGCCACTTTGAGAGCCAATTAATGCAATCTCTTGTAGAATAAACATGGTTAAGTCCTGTATATTCTGTACCCGCAGAACCATACTTTGGGGCCCTTTCTCAGCTCACAGTACAATGGCACAAGAGCACTGTGGAACTGCAAAGAGCCCAAGCCTCCCCTTCTAATGAGAGAGGGGTGGGGGAGGCAGAGAGGTTAACCTGTCCAAGGTCACCAGCTCTGAGTAGTGGGACGGCTGACTTCACCACCACCCCCTGGCAATCTGTGCACCACCCCAGCTCCCACAAACAGTCCCTCCCGGCTTCTGTTGGTTTGCTAGCACGCAACTACCCCCCCCCCGGCCCCCGCAAAAATGCAATGCCAGTTGCGTTCTGTGCCCAACTTCATCCCCTCGCGTCGGCATGCGGTTAACCCTCTCGCCGGCAGCACGTCACATGGGCCACGCGCAGCTCTCTCTCTGCCCCCCAAGCCTCTCTCCCCGGCGGCTGCCCCCAAGGTCACCGGCCGTCCCAGGGAGCTCCCGCCGCCGGGGAGCCGAGCACGCCCCGCCGGGGCCCCGGGGCGCGGCACTCACCGGCGCGGGGGGCGGGCGCGCCGCGGCTGCCCATATCCTCGCCGGCGCGGCTGGGTGCGGCGGCCGCTGGCTCGGGCTGTGCGGGGCGCCCGGCTGCGGGCCCGCGCCGCGGGGAGCGCCGTCCAATCAGCGCGCGCCTGCCGCCTGGCCCGGCGCGCGGCCCGGCCGGGTTCGCGGCTCCCGGGGGGCGCGAGCCGCCGCGCGCCGCCCGAGCCGCTTCCGGGCGCGTTGCCTGGACGCGGTTGCCGTGGCAGCCCGAGCTGGAGGCTTTCCCCGCGCACCCGCGCCCAGCCTGGCGGCGCCGCCCCTCCTCCCTCCGCGTTCCCACACCCAAAATAGCCTCTCTTCGTCGCTGCTGTTTCCCACAGAGCTCTCATCCAAGCGGCTCGGAGTTGGCGGGCGGGGATTTCGCTTATTGGAAAATAAATCCTGCTGTAGGGCTGGTTGACTTGAAGGGAGAGGTGTTGAAATGGTGCCTGATTAGGATAATAGCCGTGGTGCCTGCACTGTAATTCTCTTCAGTGCCCTAACAATTCCTTATTCACGAAACCTCTTTCTCACAAGAAAGCGCTATTTATCTCTCCCCCCCCACCCCCTTCCAGATTGAGGAGAAGCTATTTTACGAGGCCACCGTCTGGTAGGCAGCTCGCGCGTTGACGCCCCACCTGTGCAGGTGAACTAACCCCTCTCGGCTGCCAAGTGCCATTTAATGGATCACCTTGACACCCCTCGCTGGGTCCAAGGATTGCGTTGCGCTGCAAGAGACGACGCAAGAAGGAACTGTTACCACTCTTCCTCGCAGCCCTTGCTCCTCCCCTCTCCCTCATCCCTAACTCTTTCCACCTTCCTCTCAATTTGGACTCTGAGCAAGATGCACAAGCCGATCCACTCAATTTTGCTTCCTCCGGGTGGGCGGGATTTAAACAGAGTTGGGGACCCCCACCTTTGCACGCCTCACCGCCTCCGGTTCCTCTCTCTTTCATATCGCTAGTATTCACCCAGTACAAGTATTCCTGCCTGTCTCTCCCACCAGTCTGAGCCCGCCCCCCCCCCCCGCCCCACCCCAGGGAATGGAGCATGACACAGTAGAAAGACCCTGGGTTGTGGAGTCAGCTGAGCTATTTTGGAATCCTCCCTTCATCAGTTACTTCTGCGAGGTCTTGGGTATTTTATAGTTGTTTCCACACTCATAAAACGGTACAATACCCCCCCCCCCGACACACACACACAGAAAGGGTTAATACATGGTGATATTCATTCAATCAACAATATTATTAGACGCCTGTCAAATACTAGAATCTGTGCTTAGCTCTGAGACACAATGGTGGAGAAGAGACATAGCTCTTTGCTCTCATAGAGCTTACAGCCTGAGCCGCAGTAATGAAACAATCACAGATTCATTGAAACTGCCACTGTGCTAGGGAGAGTACATGGCCTTGAAATCCATGGTACAGAGATCTGATCTAACAGCACCCCTATATGGCTGCAAAGTCTCAACGATTATTTTCTTTCCCTCCTTAGATTCCCATTGCCTGATACATGGTATGCAATGAGTAAATATATATTGAATTAAATCCTATGTCATAGTGACAACAATATCACTTAGTTTCCCAGGGACTTCCATATGTAACTTGCCACTGTGTCTGCAAGGATGTGTCGGTATTACTGGCAAGTGCCCATTCAAACCCAGAGCCCATCCTCAAGGGTCCCGAGAGAGGTTCAAAATGTTTCTTGCCTGTCCCCATTGGGTTACCTTCCAGTGTGTAAGGTGTGTATCTCAGATGGGCACCTGAAAGTCCTCTTTGTCTCATTTCCCCTCTCTGTTTACTATTACACTCTCTACCTCGGTACCAGCTCCACCTCCCACCCCTCCTCAAATCAGAGCCTCAGGGCACCCATCCCTGGCTTCCTAGGAGTATAACAGTGGACCCTTCCATCCCCAGAGTAGACCACCTACAAAACAGAGGAAACTCCCCACTGCTGCTGCTGCCCTACAAAGCATAATTTTGATGCTCTTTTGCTGCAAGACTTCATCACTTCCAAGGGTAAAGAAAGGGAGAGGCTTCAATGCCAAGGTCCCTTGCCACATATACACACCTTCCTATTTAGTCTGACCTTAATATCCTTCTTAAAAATTATACCAATTAATATAAAATCCAAAATTAAAAAAAATAATTAACAAGAAGACAAATGATTATAGCTCTTTCTTTTTTTTTTTCAATGTTTTTTTTTTTTAAATTTATTTGTAGGAGAGAGAGAGAGACAGCGTGAGCAGGGGAGGGTCAGAGAGAGGGGGAGTCACAGACTGAAACAGGCTCCAGGCTCTGAGCTGGCAGTCGGCACAGAGCCCGACGCGGGGCTCGAACCCACGAACCGCGAGATCATGACCTAAGGGTAAGTTGGACGCCTAACCGACTAAGCCACCCAGGCGCCCCGATTGTAGCTCTTTCAAACTCGGGATTTCTCAGTAGGAATCCTGAAGTTTCACAGTAATCTTGAATCAGACCCCGAACTTCCCACTTACAACTTCTTTTTTCCTTTCCAGGTGATTTATTTTGAATCCTGAGAAGACAAAATTTAGTGCACAATGATTTAAACCTACCCTGGTTTTTTCCAACTCTTAAACTATTTCTGTAGGAAAATTTCAAAGAACTATCTATCCAGAATCATTGGTTGTGACTCATTATAGGAAATGCATTACTTTAATTAAAATGCTATGATTTATCACAAATTACTTTATACTGGCAAGGGTTACCAGAAATAGTTTCATTCAGAGACCAATTTTATAAAGTTGATGGCTTTCATCCTATTCACCAACAAGTCATTAAATACAAATAACCTTTGTGGTATATTGTGCTAGACACCATGGAGATCTTATTCTTTCTTTTAGTGATTTATTGCACAGCTTTATTCCGGTCCTACCTGTGTCTCAGCACCACCATTAATCATTAAGATAGGATGTGTAGGGCATCTCTGAGACCAGCAGGCATGCTGGTCATGGACTTGTATAGGTAAAGGTCAAGGATTTATATAGGTCAAAAGTGGTATTTGTAAAAAGGCTAGAATGCAGTTAGGCCAACAGCCCTGCAGGGTAGAGAGTTAACACTTTATTTTGTGGTCAGCAATTCTCAATGGAGGCTTGAAATTCAGTGAGGTGTCAAGATCCATTGTGAGATATGTCACAGGGTGTTGCAGAGCTCCTCACTTAATAAAAAGGTGCCAGAGGATTGACCTGCAAGGAATGGTCACATATAGGGGTCAGAAAGAGGAAGATGGTTACCACAAAGGGAACAATGAGGAAAAAACAGAGGATGCATAGAGACAATGTCAGAGAAGCCACATGTGGAACAGTTGAAGGCTGTAAGTCCTACCGAAAGCCAAGAGACTTTAGTGAACAGAAGGTCACTGGTGATCTCCATAAGTATTTTTTAGTTGGCAGATTGCTGTGGGTTAAGAAAAGATGGACTGCTGGTGAAACAGGTGTGGGTCACTTTTTAGAGAGGCTGGCAGTAGAGGGAAGATGAGAAATAAGATCAATAGTTTTTTTTTTGTTTTGTTTTGTTTTTGTTTTTCTGAGGGAGAGAGAGACAGCGTGAGCAGGGGAGGGTCACAGAGAGAGGCTGAAACAGGCTCCAGGCTCTGAGCTAGCTGTCAGCACAGAGCCCAACGCGGGGCTTGAACCCACGAACCATGAGATCATGACCTGAGCCGAAGTCAGACGCTTAACAAAATGAGCCACCCAGGCGCCCCTAGATCAATAGGTTTTGGGCGCCAAGTAACATTTTCAAGATTGGAAGAAAAAGTCTCTGCGTTTGTAAATACTGTGTAGTCACAAAGAAATGGAAGACATAATACATCATGTCGTACTAACTCAATCTAAATTCTACCATTAATTTCATCATCACTATATCCATTTCCTTTTTTTAAAAAAGATTTTATTAAAGTTTTTAATGTTTATTTATTTTTGAGAGACAGAGACAGAGCATGAGCAAGGAGAGGCAGAGGGAAAGGGAGACACAGAATCTGAAGCAGGCTCCAGGCACTGAGCTGTCAGCACAGAGCCTCCTGCGGGGCTCAAACCCACAAATGGTGAGATCACGACCTGAGCTGAAGACCGATGCTTAGTCAACTGAGCCACCCAGGTGCCCCTTAAGATTTCATTTTTAAGTAATCTTTATACTCAAGGTGGAGCTTGAATTTACAATCCCGAGATCAAGAGTCACATGCTCTACCTACTAAGTCAGCTAGATGCCGCATTACCGTTTTTTAAATATTTCATCAAATAAGATGAGGAGGGATGCTGAACATCGTTTCATGTGTCTGTTGGCCATCTGGATGTCCTCTTTGGAGAAGTGTCTGTTCATATCTTCTGCCCATTTCTTCGCTGGGTTGTTTGTTTTTCGGGTGTGGAATTTGGTGAGTCCCCTATGACCCAGCAATAGCACTGCCAGGAATTTACCCAAGGGATACAGGAGTGCTGATGCATAGGGGCACATGTACCCCAATGTTCATAGCAGCACTCTCAACAATAGCCAAAACATGGAAAGAGCCTAAGTGTCCATCAACAGAAGAATGGATCAAGAAGATGTGGTTTATCTATACCATGGAATACTACATGGCAATGAGAAACAATGAAATCTGGCCATGGGTAGCAACATGGATGGACCTTGAGGGTGTTCTGCTGAGCGAAATAAGTCAGGAAGAGAAGGACAAATATCATATGTTTGCACGTATAGGAGGATTAGGAGGAACTTAACTGAGGAACAAGGGGGAGAAGAAGGGGAGAAATGGTGGGGGAAAGGGAGAGAGGCAAACCATGAGAGACTCTTGAATACTGAGAACAAACTGAAGACTGATGGGTGTTGGGGGGGGAGGGGGAAGATGTGCATGGAGGAGGGCACTTGTGGGGATGAGCACTGGGTGTTATATGGAAACCAACTTGACAATAAACTATTTGTAAATAAATAAATAAAAATATTTCATCAAATAAGAGATATCTTGCATAGAACAAAAGTGGGGTTCCGAGCTTGGGACAATATTTTCTTAATAACCAATTAAAAATTTAGGTTAACAACCAGTTAACACAATATATATTATTCTTTATTGCTTTTCTTTGTTGATAATAGTAACAGAATTAAAAAATCTCTCTTTTACTCTTTTATATGCAAAAATAATAGATTTTTCATCTGTTTTAAGTAAACTATAATTGACTTACTTGTTTTTGCTAATAGTTTCCCTTCACGTGTTGGTTAATTCCCTCAAAAATTATGTTTTGCTTGTGAATTTGTTGGTGAATCGATCTCACAAGGATTATCAAAAGTAACTATCATTAAGATACAACCAGCAGAGAAGGCATAAAGTATTGGAAGATTCTTCCTAGAAGGGTTAATTTAGGATGTGTTTTGTTTGCCTTAACTTAGAAAATGGCTGGCATACTGAGCAGGGCAAAGTCAGCCTGGATTGTGTTGAAACAGTGTGCGAATGAGCCTTAACATACTACTACTCACTAGAGAATAAAATTTGGAATAAAAGAGGATTTGTCCAAAGAATTTATGGCCAGAAATTCTGGAATAACTTTGTAATGAAACATCTGGGGCACCTGTCTAATTCAGTTGGCGGAGTGTGTGACTCTTGATCTCGGGATTGTAAGATTGAGTCCCATGTTGGGTGTAGAGATTACTTAAAAATAAAATCGTGAAAAAGGGAAAAAAAACCTCTCCAAAACCCAGTTCAGTGGCAAGGAAAGCTTAGAAAATTCCATTGCACATTGATTTTGAAAAATGTTTCTTTCCAACAAGTATCAGAAAATAGGCAAAAAAAAAATAAATACATGGTTTTTAAGCTATTCTGAAGTTTCATGCCACCGTGGCTCAGCTCAGTGTAGTTCGGCAAACATTGATGTTTATTTACCTTGTACTAGTTAATTATGACACCACACTTCGGACAATGAAGCCCCATTAAGCTGGTGCTCTTGTTTCAGCGTCCTTGCCAAGTCGCACATTATTGGACAGTTATCTTCACAGGTAGGAGAATTAAAAGACAACTTTCACTTCTGTTCAACAACAAAAAAGAAATAATACCCACTATGTAACAACACACACGACATACATGTTATGGTAAAAGTGCCGCACCAAACCACAGTAAAGCTAGGAGAAGGAAAAATCAGGATTATCGATCCTCTCCTTACAGAATCCTGTCCTTACTGGCCCTGACCCTGGTGGCACAAATGGCCAATGTTTGTATGTCAGGCCCTGTGCTAAATGCTTTACCTATAGGATTTCATTTCTTCCTTGCAATAATCCATGAGTAAAACTGAGGCTTAGAGGTGTTATATGGCTTGTCTAAGATCCCAAAGCTGTTAAGCCCTGAAACTGGGATTTGAATATGGGCACCTCAAATGCCACCCTATGCTTTAACCAGGTACTGGATGGCCTCTCGGTGACCACATGAGACTAAAAAGGGAAAATGCATCATGAACTTCAGTATGTAAAATGTGTGGCACACTGAGACCTAAATAAATAGTATTCCTCTCCCCCCTTTCCTTCCCCCAAGGAGACCACATATCAAAGAATATGAATAATAACATACTAAAAAATTATTTTGAGAGAGTAAATTAATGTTAACATTCTATCTGATCCCTTACACCTTCATCCCAGGTCTGTACCAGCCAAAGAGTCAAGATTTAGTGTAATTTTCCAAATGAATGTGATAAAAGAATCTTTAGTTTCAAACATAGAGGGCCAAAAATGTTTTAGGATTTGAGCATCTTTTTAAATAATGAAACTAAAGCAAGTTCTTTATGAGCACATGCTTGCCAGCAAAAGGTATTTAGAGCTGTATACTTTTCAAAAGTCTTAATTAGTAGACATACATATTCTGCACTTAAAATAAAATCAATATTATGCAATTGCTCTTAAAAGAGAAATATCAAGTATAATCCTCTTCATATCCCCTCCAATATTAGGATACACTTTAATTGTTTTCATGCACATGTAACAGATTTCCCTAGGCAATATGAATGGGTTGTAGGATTTTCTATCAGGAGCTGGAGACCCAAAGAGTCGTGGCATTAGGTTATCATCACTGAGGAAATAGCTTTCTCTTCCCCCTTAGAATCATAAATCATAAATTTGACACATTCTTATTTTCCTTAGGAGGATCCATGCTGTGAAGCTCCTGGAAACTAATGGTATGTGCTTAGGCAAGCTTCTTAACCTCTCCTTGACACAGTTTCATCATCTGTAAAACGGGGGTAATGTAGTGCCCACCTCAATGGGTTCTAATGGAGATCAAAGGCATCAACTCACATAAAAACCTCGAATAACATTTTAGTTACTATTTTAATATTATTTGTTATATCTAATGTCATTTAAATTTTAGTTTTAGTATTTTCTTCCAAGACCCAATCAGAAGAGTGGAGGTCTAATTATAACCGGCTCAACTCTTATATCTTATATATGGAGACAGAAATTAATCTGGTTGACTCGTTCCTCACGCTATTACTCACGTTGCTTGTCTTGGAACAATTCTAATTATCCTTCTGGTGTCAGCCACACCCCAAAACCATTCCTTTCCTTTGCATGTAGCTATCAACGTCCCAGTCAAATGTGTATACAGCTCTTAGTATACTGGATCATTTTTGGCTGCACCTAACACAAATTCCAGAGTCCCTCTTCTCTGTGAACAATGAGTGAAATTGTCACAGTACATCTTCTGCCTTATTTATCTGACTCCTTCCTGCCCCACCTATATGATTCAGCCAAATTAAGTATCAACCCAGGTCCTTAAAAAGGGAAAGAGGCCTATGTCTTTGGTGCCGTGGGAAAGATGGGAATGGCATCATCGGTCCATGCTCCTTCCTCTTTCTGCCAGATGAAGTCATTCTCCTCACAATGGACATCTCTGAGCATGAATGTAGCTAGCAATGACTGTGGGGTCAGTGGCCACCACTACTGCCACCAATACCACACAATTATCTGGTTCCTGCCTTCAGTTGTTGGATTTATTCTCACGGACTATAAAACAAGATTTCAAAGCATCACCAGACTGAGGAAGACTTTTGCCTTCCTAGTCTTACCACCTGACCTGGGTTTTGCCCTTCGTGACTCTTTCCTCCACCTGCTACCCTGTTCTCAGCATCAGGAGAGGATATGGTCCTGTCCCTGATCGGTATCTCTGCCCACATCTCTTACATCAGAAGTTATGGCTTAGCTTTTCCTGGTTTATTTTCTCCCAAATCCCATCAGGAGAGAGAACCACTAATTAATATTGGTTCAATTATTTTCTTTTACACATGGAGACAGAATTTGATCATTCCAGCACTTAACAGTCAGCATATCTGTTTTGGACAGGTCTCAAGGACAAAAACAAAATTTTTGCTAATTCACTGTATGAAAAAGACCCAAGCATACCCAGTACCTGACCTTAAGATAATGAGTTTGACATTGCTTTCCTCATGCACCCTGCTCCCTCCGCCCGGTGCAGCGCTCTTGACATTGCCTTTTCCAAGGAAGAGTCTACCTTTTTTCCAAGGGGAGAAAATAATAATGTTATTTGTAGGAAAATCTGCACAAGAGGTATCAGCTTTTCTTTCATTCAGTTTAAAAAGAGATAATTATAGTTTTTTTTAAAAATCCTCAACACAGGCATTTTTATGAGCAATATTGAAGGATGGGACATCAATTAGACGGTCATACTAAGCCCCTTAAAGTTGGAGAAATTGTAAAAAAAAATTCTTACAACTGAAGGACATAAGTATATAGATTGAACAGAACCACTAAATTTCTGGCCATGTGAATAAAAAAAAGACCATATCAAGGCTATGTGAATAAAAAAAAGACTATTTTGAAATTTCATAACACTAAAGATAAAGAGAGGATTGTACAATCATCCAGACTCAAAATATATCACATATGAAGAATCAGGAGTCAGAATGACATCAGACTTCTCAACAGTAACAGTGAAATAAACAGAAGTACCTTTAAAATTCTGAGAGAAACTTATTTCCATTGTAGAATTCTACACTCAGCTAAACTATCCATCAAGCCTGAGAACAAAATAAAGATATTTTCACACATGCTAACTCCCCAAAATGTACCACATACACACCCTTTCTCAGGATTCTACTGAGAAATGTAAACCATTTGAGAAAGCAAATTAAAAAGAAAGAAACATCCACTTCAAGATAATGGCAAAAAGAATTCTTAGGAGTATGATAAAAGGACATCACAGGACTGATGTCCAGCAAGTCGTATAAGGACCTATCAGTGCTCTGGACGCCTGCATGGTTCAGTCAATTAAGCATCCGACTTCAGCTCAGGTCATGATCTCACGGTTCACAAGTTCAAGCCCTGCATAGGGCTCTCTGCTGTCAGCATAGAGCCCACTTGGATCCTCTGTCCCCCTCTATATCTGCCTGTCCGCCCCCTTCTCCCCGTCTCCCACTTGCGTTCTCTCTGCCTCTCTCTCAAAAATAAACATTTAAAAAATATTAAAATAAAGGGCAACCAGTACAGACTGAAGCAAAAAAGTAGAGTATCATAGGGAGGATACTCCTAAGAAAATGAGAGAAAGAGAGAGAGAGAAACAGATTACTTAATATGTTTGACCACAGTGAGAGGAATTCTAATTCTGTCAAAACGTTTGTAGATGAACTAATGGGTGGTGCAAAAAAGAACGAAACCAATGGTCAAAACAGGCAATTATTAATGCCAGGGATGAAACCCAGACTTGTACAATCATATGTGGCTCAGCTACTAACAACAGATATAATGTAAACACTCTCTATTGGTTTCATCAAAAATTGTTATGTCACTATATTGAGAAGGTTGGAGGTGAAGACAGTTTGAAGCATCTAAGAAAACGAAATCCATTTCGTTTATATAGAAAGTCAATAACGTCTAACAGCAAAAGATCAAGAAATACCAGTATAAGCATATTTGACTTTATAAACTAAGTACATGTATTTCTTTGATGCAAGTAAAATATGAAAGAATTCAGATATATGGGGAAAAAATCTTGAGGGTTATTTTTAAAATACATGTACCTATTATTTTAAAAGTCCTTAGGTTATTTATTTAAGAGTCTTATTGCTGCCTTTCTTCCTAAGACATGATTTCTGTATTTCTATTTAGAGCACATTCAAAATGTGTGGTTAGCAAACCATAATTCTTCCTTTTGAGAAGGCATTGTGAAGCCTTTTTTAAAGGACTTAAGATACTAATTTGAAGACTAATTTTGTTCAAAAAAGAACATAAACCCATTGACTGCATAGTACAATGTTCCAGATATATTTTAATAACTTTCTGACAAAAAATCAGTATATGGCTTTTCCTTCCAGCTTTAACTCACTGAAAATAAAATAGTCAAGGTGAAGCCCATTTTATTAATACAAAATATTTTCCAGATACATAGAATATTCATTTAAGGTGTGATATGTATGTGTGTATGTGAACTATAATAGTGTTTTAGAGCATGGGAAAAGAAAAAAAATCATTTTAGTTAGCTTTTTATAAACATTACAAAAAGCAAAAAGTCTGGGAATCTTTTCCCCTAATTTAGATAATAGAAATAATTTGCCTGCTTAACATGAATTACATGAATTGTCGTGTAACATAAGGACTCTGGGATTCAGAACCGAAAGATCTGGGTTTAAATTCTGGCTTCATCCCTTCTCTTACTAACAGGACAATTTGGGGAAAGCTGCTTAATATTTTGAGCCTCACTTTCCTCATCTGTTGATTACCTAGACTGTGTTAGGCAGTATTTTAGGCAAAGGAGACATAGTAGTACCTGAGTATACCCTCATGGAGCTCATATTTTATGGGGGAAAAATAACAAATAAGTAAGCAAAGCAATTTTGCTTTTTTTTTTTTTAAGAATATCAAGACAATGTTTTTAATGTTTTTTTTTTTTTCTCTCTGAGAGAGAGAGCAAGAGCAGGGGAGGGTCAGAGGGAGAGAGAGACACAGAATCTGAAACAGGCTCCAGGCTCTGAACTGGCTCTGAGCACAGAGCCCAACGCGGGGCTCGAACCCACGAACTGTAAGATCATGACCTGAGCCGAAGTTGGACGCTTAACCAACTGAGCCACCCAGGCGTCCCAAGAATATCAAGACACTTTTTTAAGTTTATTTACTTATTTTGAGAAAGAGAAAGACAAAGAGACAGAGAATGAGCAGGGGAGGGGCAGAGAGAGAGGGAGAGAGAAAACCTCAAGCTGGATCCACGCTGTCAGCACAGAGCCTGATGTGAGGCTCCATCTTGTGAACCATAAGATCATGACCTGAGCTGAAATCAAGAGTCGGATGCTTAACTGACTGAGCCGCCCAGGCATCCCAAGCAAACAAAGCAGTTTCAGATAATGACAAGGATTGTGGAGAAAACAAAAAAGCCATAGCATAGTGAGAGGCATGGAGCCTGGCTAGTTTAGAAAGGATAGTTAGCATGGGCTTCTCTAAGAAGGTGGTATTTGACACTCAGGGAATCTAATGTCAGTTATGTGTAGGTTCAGGAGAAGAGAACCAGAAGCAGAAGGAATCGCCAGTAATGAAGGGTCTTGGCATACTTCGGGACTAGGAAGAAGGCTGGTGTGGTAAGAGCTTAGAGCGGAAAGGAGCAGGATACTAGGTGAATTCAGAAGGCAGTGTATGTAGCTTGAAAGCCACTGTAAAGAGTGCTGGCTTTATTTTAGACAGGAATCAGTCTGCGGCCATACCACCCTGAATGTGGCCCATCTCATCTGATCTTGGAAGCTAAGCAGGGTTGGGCTTGGTTAGTACTTGGATGGGACATGGGAATCAAAGGATAGTTTTAAGCAAAGGAGTAACCTGATCTAATTTGCTTTGGTGGCTGTTTTGAGAATGAATTACATGAGGTCATAAGAGAAAGTCGAGAAACTAGTTTCAAGGCTACTGTTGCAGTGAGGTATGATGATGGCTTGGATTACAATGGTTGTAGGCGAGATGGTGACCAATGGAGGTGGCCTGACATTGGATATAATGTAAAGGTCATGAATTAGTTACAGACAGAGGAAAGAGAAATCAAGGTTGTTGTTTTTAATCTGAGTCACTGGATACATTATGATGCCATTTATGAAATGAAGATCCTCTGTGGGAGGATTTCTCTTAGGGGCAGAAATCAAGAGCTCAGTTTCAGATGTGTTAAGTATGGGGTACCTATTAAATTTCTAAGATGAAATATCAAGCTGGTAGCTGGAAGTATGAGACTGAAGTTTGATATCACTGGATTAGCATTAGCATAGAGAAGGTACTTAAAGCCACAGGAATGGATGACAGCATCTAGAGAAGACATACAGACGGGGAATTGTGTGGGCCCTGGAAGTGAGTCCTGGGATAGAGAGGAGAAACCAGATTCCCAGGAAACAAGAACCAGGAGAAGAGATTGAGAAGAAGGAGCTGGTGTAGCTGGAAGAGGAGAGGGAAAGTCTGGTGACACCAAAAGCAAAAGAAGAGTTTCAAGAAGGATGTTGACCTGATGGACGGCTGAGTCAAAGGCTACTGAAAAGTTCCAGAAGTTAAGGCCCCAAAGGTGAGTGATGGATTTAGCAACACGGAAGCCATCGGTGACCGTCACGAGGGCTGTTTGGGCAGAGTGGTGGGGACAGGATCTCCATGGGAGCAGGTTGAGGGAAAAATGGGAGATGGGTACAGAAGCACTGATAGTAGACAACGTTTTCCAGGGGATGTGCAGCGAAGCAGAGCCCAAAAATGGGAAGGCTGCCAGAAGGCAGGAGGTGGGGTCAAGGGAGGTTTTAAGTTTTATTTTTTGTTTTTAAAATAAAAGACAGTAGAGCAGGTTTCTTTTCTGATAGTAGTGATTCAGTAAAAGGAGAGTAACCGGTGACTGCAAGGAAAAGGAGGTAATAGTTATATCATGATTTTTAAATCCTAATAGGTGAATAATTAAATTTTTTAATGTTTATTTATTTTTGAGAGGCAGAGAGAGACAGAGCAGGTGAAGGTCAGTGAGAGAGGGAAACAGAATCTGAAGCAGGCTCCAGGCTCTGAGCTGTCAGCACAGAGCCCAACCCGGGGCTCAAACTCACAAACCACAAGATCATGATCTGAGCTGCAGTCGGATGCTTAACCGACTGAGCCACCGAGGCACCCCAGGCAAATAATTAAATACAAGTCCCTTAAATTATATGAAAAGCTTCCAGCAACAACTCCTTAATATTGAACAGTTTTATGAAGATTACTGGTATTTTGTTAGCTTCCTCTCATTCCTTGTTTTAAAGTATTAAATCTCGGGGCACTTCGGTGGCTCAGTTGGTTAAGCGTCTGACTTCGGCTCAGGTCATGATCTCAGGGTTCGTGGGTTTGAGCCTTGCGTTGGGCTCTGTGCTGACAGCTCAGAGTCTAGAGCCTGCTTCGGATTCTGTGTCTCCCCACTCTCCGCCTCTCCCCTGATCACACTCTGTCTCTCTGTCTCTCAAAAATAAATAAATGTTAAAAAATTGTTTTTTAAAAATAAAAAT